CCAGACGGGATGACCCGCGAGGCTGGAAAACCACTGATTGGCCAGGTTTGACAGCCGGGCAACTTCAGAGCCCGCCGGCATGCTGGCTGGATAGTAGTCATGGGCTGTGGAAAAAATGGATTCCATGCGCTGACGGAAGTCATCAAAGGAACAGATTTTGTCAGTGAGTACGAGACGTTCTAGGCCACGCAGGGAGTTTTGGAAGCCGTCAACCTGTCGGAAGTAAACAACAAAGACGCCAGGTTGCAAGTGAAACTCAACGCGCCCTCCAGTTTGGCTAAATAAAGAATTCGTGGACAGGTTTAACGCTCCCGTGGATGGTAGGTTACGAGTGGTTTTGGAAACTGAAATCGAATATCAGTAGCCAGAAACTTCTTGCCGGTGAAAGGTCAAGAAGGATGCAGCTACAAAGGATTCGGCCCTCGTGGGATCTACTCCCACTCTCCACTTTTAAAGTGGCACTTTAAATTTGAGTAAATTCAGCGAGACACTCGTTTTTTTATTCGGCCCCAGATTCAATTTAATATTTGGGTTGAATGCAACCCATTTCTGCAGAATAACCGCGTATGCAGACAAGCATTAGCAGTATATGCAACCGTTTCAGTACAGGTCCCATGCGGAAGAGTTTTCACGAGGGACCTTGCAATCGGTATTTTGAGAAACAGCGGTCATTCTGTTGATGTCAAAACAGCAATTCAAACACTTGTTCGGGCCCGAACAAAACGAATCCTGCGCTATTTGGAAGCTGCGTACATACGGCGGGAAAAACCTGACCTATGCAAGCAGCTTGACCATGTGGTCAACCTTCAATTAACCTGGTAATTGGTCACTTACTTTTAATTCCCCAGTAATTTTCGTTAACTTCCCTCAACCACTCCCTTCCCTACCTATAAGTTGACTTAATGCAGTGTCATTTATTAATTATTATTTTAAATGAACCACGGTCCTTGCTGTTATGACATTCATTCAGTGAAATTTAAAATTGTTGTATGTTCTCTTCGTTATTATCATCATGCAGCGGCAAGATGCAGCTGAGAAGCTGTCACGAAATTTATTGATGTCCTTTCAGAACGGAGAGCCAGGCTGCAATGGTACCTCAGTAACCCAGCTGGGACCCAAAACGCCTTCTTTTATCGCTGTGTGAAATCCTGGTCTATCGTGCATGCGTCTGTCATGCGTAGATGGACTGTGTCGCTACAGTTCCGCATTCCGCCCCCGATCTTCCTGACTATCTCAAGTCAACATCCTTGAGCCCACCCAGTTCTGGGACACATGTTGGATATCACTATTTGCGGTGGTTCCTCACTGACGTTCCAACTCCTCTGGAATCCGAATAGCCCTCGTTTATAGTTGTGTGAAACCCTGATCCATCGTTTGTAGACTAGGCGTGTGGGGACGCGTAGATAGCTGTATAGCTATGTCAGCTACTGCTCTGCATCGATCTCTTTTGACCTTGGGCTCAACTGAGTAAGTGAGGAGAGAATACAGTAGGTGCTGTGAAAGTCTAACATCCCTA